AGAGACAATAGTGGAAGGGATTACAACGTCTGATACTGAAGATTTTTCAGTAGGAGTTATCTTCGCTGAACCTGAAGAGGAGGTTTTAGCGATTTTCTTCACTATGACTGTAGAAGCAGCCTTTGTGGAAGATTTCACCTTAGTTGATTTCTCAGCCTTGGCTACTTTCTTGCTTAAAACTGGTGAACCAGTTTTAACGACAGAAGRACACTTGCTGGCAATATGTGATTTCTCACAACAGTGCTTACACTTCCTAAAGACAGGATTTGCTTTAGGGCCAGGAAGTGTCAGATTAGAAATGGGACCAGGTCCAAGAATACCCTTCTCATTAGTTCTAGGAGGAACTTTTGAGGAACATGATTCTTTAGATGAAAAGTTCACTATGAGTTGTGACTTAGATTTCTAAAGAGATTCAAATTTCCTAGTCCCTGAGGACGAAGTTTTACAAGCTGAAGGAATAGACCTAGATCTATTAGACTTATTTGACTTCTTAGGAGAAGATGTTGTGACAATGGATTTACCTTTGTCTTTGCATCCAAAACTCAAAGGAGTTCCTTCAAGATGACTCTCAGATAAAGAGGAGGACTGAGAGGAAGAAGTGTTGGGAAAAGAAGAAACAAAAGTACCAAACTTGAGCATGGACCTGTCTACAACACTATCTTCCTGATCATAGGAAAATCCTAGACCAGTCTTTCTCTTGGCAGGGATCTGAGCGTTAAAGATCTCAGAGGCTTTAAAAGAAGCTTTACACCACCCTTCAATGGTAGCTTTCTCAGCCTTGAGTTCAGCGATGGCTCGCTCACGCTCAGCGATAGCCTTTTCACGTTCAACAGTGATGGTTTGGTTTACAATAACCTGATCTTTAAGAATTTCCTCAACAGAGGTCAGTTATTTGATCTTAGAATGGCAAATCTTCAATTGTTCATGAAGATCAACATTAAGCATTTCACTTTTGATTTGCCATTGAGGGCATTGTAAAGGTCAACCGTCAGAGTATCTAGTGCAGAAAGACTAGAAGAAGAAGAAGAAGAGTATCTTTCTAGTCTCCTGAACCTGAGTGGTTCCTTCATATTGGACACAGAGAGTATCCCATATGGATTTAGAAGGTTTGAATTTCATCACAGAGTGATAAATCTCATCAGGAAGAGACATAGCTATTATAGACCGAGCACGCGTGTCTATAGCTATTTTCTTCTTGTCCTCATCGCTCCACTGATGTGGAAGCTTTGGAATCTGCCGTTCAGGAATCGCGGCAGTCGTAGCTGTTGCTAGAACAGCCGAAACAATAGCAAATGGAATATATGGTCCATTTTCTATATAGTGTGGAATTTCAGGATTCACACCTTCCAGAAAGAGGGACATCCGATTCTTCCAGAGACTAAAGTTGTCACGAACAAATCAGGGAGGTTTGGCAAGAGAGCCATTGTCTTCTGTGTGTGTGTTTGTAATGTGTAAAGCCATTTGAAAGCAGTAAGTTATCAAAGAAGAGATAAATTAATACAACAAAATAACAATACACAAGTAAAGAGAGAAAACACTGCTCTGATACCACTTGTTGGTCCCAAAAGGGTCTACAAGATAAAACCAGTTTGTAGAAAGGGGGGATGAATACAAACACAAAGTTTTCAAATTTAAAATATATATTGATAGAGAAGATCAATACAGATTTTACAAGATTGTTTGCAGAAAGATAAAGTATAGGAAACCTATCTAAACAACCTTTGGTCACACATAGACGTTTAGCAAATACAAGAAAAAAGAATGCTAAAAGAAATATCTTTTACTTAAGCTAGAAGAAATTTGAAGTAAGAATATGGTAAGAGAGTGATGCGCGCACTCTGTATGAAGAAAAAACACTTCTATTTATACCCAGTGCATTAAATGTTCATTTAATACAGTAAGTTAGGGTTTAGAGTGCGTGTCAAGCCTTAAGAGGAAGGCTTGTCCTTTGCTACAGTGAATAGTACAAAAGCACTATTCTTGAGCADAYAWCCTTGCCTAAAGTTGGTGGACAAAGAGTCGACTAATCGGCTCCGTACCGTACTAACTTTAGTAAKGKTWTGGGTTTGTCCTTTGTGTGCAAAAGGACAAGACAACAACAATCATGCTAAGCAAGCTTCCTTTGATCGCTGAATGCTGAAATAACCTGGAGGTCTCATGATCATTCGCTGAAGCTAGAGCAGTCTTCACACATTTGTAGATAGGCTCGAAATCACTGAATACCGCTTCAGATCACGTACTCGTCAGTCTCTAATCTTCAGTTTCAGTCTTCAACATTCGCTGAAGGTTCTTTGGTGTGAGTGTTGTCTTCTTGAAGTATTGTTTGTCTCTGAGATTTATAAAACAAGCTTCTCAGCGATCACTGAACATACTCAGTGTATGATCGCTGGAACTGAAAATACARAAACAAAATTACATCGATAGATAAAAGGGATTATCATCAAATCACTGAGAGAGAGGATCAACAAAAAGTCTTCATCTTGCACAATTATGGAGTACTTCTTTTGTACCTCTCGTAATCCTCGTGATTCTAAATTGACAGCTGCATTTTAACTTGGAAGATCAAAATCATCGAGGTTTTTACCCATAGATTGTAAAAAGACTGCGATGTTTGTAAAAACCATATTTCAGACTCCCTCAACATTTTCGTAGTCTCGTCTATAATCTTCAGAGAGTGAATCATAATGTTCATCCTATAACTTATGAACATCTCCCAGCTCACAATAAATCAAGATCGTCGCGAATAATCATCAAAGAGCATTGGGAAACTGAAATAAGGAGGCATCGGCAAGACAATGCGATAAATTATCATTGGTCTTAATTAAACCTCTCGCAAGAGTTGCTTTTCGAAATGTCGGATGTATTATGCCATTAACCGTGTAAAGATCTTCAAAGCATGTGGGCCCACTAATATGAGACAGAAGTAGGCGTAGATAATATCGTTCTCCTTCGGCAGGATTAGCATAAACCAGTCGTCCTCTCATTGATCCTTGTTTTTGAGGATTCCATTTACATGAACTGGCATTCCATATGTAATGTTTTGAAAAATCCTTGTATAAATATTGTCTCGCAATCATATATGTTCTATTCCTCTCAAAAAATGCGGTCAACATTGAGCTTTTATCCCTCTCTCTATCAACGATATTTGTCATTATATCATTCTCTTTGAACCTAACCAACTGCTTATTCAGAAGATGGACCTGCAAAGCCATCATACAAGGGTAGATTTGAGAAAGTGTAAAGCTAAAAATCCTCCAAATCCCCTCAGGTGGCGAAACATATCATGCATCTTGAAATCTCTTTATCTCATTGGTAATAACCTCTTCTCTATCAGGATCAACATGAATAACCTGTTTGTCATGACCCTTGTAAACATACTTGAACACATATTTCACAGATATATACTTGAGCAAACCTCAACATTGATGTGACAGTTGAACATCACAAGCAACTTTGGATTATATGGGACCACCCATCTATTATCAAGGATAATGCCCCACATGTTCACCTTCATTCCATTGTTTCTCCTCTGATACCTCAGATATGAGTTATCTGTCTACACCGTCTTGTGGTTGAATTGTTGAGGATATCTAAAACGACATTTTCTCGGATCACCTTCCATACAAGGGCTAAACAGTCGTAAATGGCCGCAAGAACCATTCATCATGTGCTTTATCACCAGCTCGTGCATTTCAAGACACTTTGTCGGGTCCAGGATTTCAGCACAAACTATCTTGTCGTAATGGTTTGGGTTTGTAATCTTGTGTTCTGGTTTCATTATCATGAGGATATGTGCATGTGGCAAACCACGTTTTTGAAACTCGATGACATAAACATAGGCCCCAACCTCTCCGAGGATGTGCTTCTTGAAGAGTTGATTTTTAAGATCCTCTAATTTGGCACGAAAAACTCTTGCAACAAGGTCCGACCTATCTTGTGCGGTTTGACCAGGCAAGAACTCTTTAAGGATTTCAGGCCACTTCGGATTACACGTCATGGTAAGTTTTTGATTGGACCAAATATGAGCCTCCCATAGAAGATGAAAGAAGATAGACAAGAAATCAAAGACAAAGAGGAGAAAACACTTTGGTACTAAAGAAACAAGAACAACAACTACTAATTCATCGGCTAATATATTTCCGAAAAGTCGAAAACTAATATATCGGGCTTCCCGTCATCTTGAACTAAAGTCATAGCATCCATAAATCTTTTTCGCATATCACTTGGGCCTCCGATAAAACTTGTAGGAAGCATAACCTGTTGTCCAACTCTACTTGGTTGAACCTCACTGGCATTGACGCAATCCACAACACCTTGGTATAAGTATGAAAGTATCTTCGTTTGATTCCTTTCAATAAAAGATAAACGTGTAGTCTCTATCTTAATATACATATCTACCACGAACTGTTGAAATAATCTTCCGCCTAATAGAATGACGTTATTACTCGACCGAATCTGGAACTTGTAACAATAATAATCTCGCATTGTTACAGTTTTCCTACCCCTTCCTGAGCTAACCTCTGCATAGTATCGATTTTGAATAGTATAGATTAATAAATGAGTGAATAAGGTAGTAAATATATGTGACAATGTTCATACCTTCATGATCTTCGTCGAAGTTTTCGTTGTCATTAACAATTTCATCGATGCACACTCCATGTCTGGGTATTCTAGCATGTCATCCAGACTCACCATTGGGAAAAAACAAAGGATAAGACAAAGGATCATTGCAACCATAGTGATATTCAATTTTTTTTACTGTATTCAGACCTCCCATACACAATAATACTTCTCTTGTATGCAGTGATCTTGTCATTGCCTTCCACCCAAATACTAGCAACCTGTAGAATAGTAGAATTTGTTTCAGTACCATGCATATGATATATTTTATTGTAAATAAAATAAAATAAATACTTGTATTTCAACCTCAGATGTGGTCGGTCGGTTGTACACCCTCTAGTGAAGTTCCACAGAAGCATTCAAAGTGACTCTATAATTGTTGAGTGGTCCTAGCTCGACAAGGCTTTGTAATGTTCTCATGTATGGGTTTATACAAAGAACACGAGTCAACATTTCAATGACGTTTCTATCAAGATTTGGCCACTGTAGTCTATGCGAAAGCTCAGACTCGGCATCATAAAAATAAAGTTGTAAGTACCGAGGTTGTCCATCCCTAGGAACTAACTGATCGATTCTATGATATATATCTCCTTAATCACTATATACTCCAGATGTCATATTGCTCATTGTACTACCCAAAGTTACCCCCATTGAAGTGAAGAAAAAGTTTGTGTTGTATGCACGAATATTGTGCCTAAACATTTCGCCTAACTCTGAATGCGTTGTAAATAAATTGTATAGTTCTTCTGGAATGGGTGAGTATGCCAACTTTGTATTCCCACTCATCCAACAAAAGGAATGGAATTCAAATTCGAACCGCTTTGCTCCACAATGTTCATAGGCATTTTGTTCCTTTAACTCATGATGTTGTTTAGGGACACCATCATAAACAAAATATTATGGATCCTCCTGTTGGATCTCAACATTTCTGTTATTTTCCTTGTTTCGTTGATAATAGTTTTGGTTAGTAATTCTTCTCCTTTGAGCAGATGTTAGTGCATTGACAGGAGTTGTTTCACCAAGCGCTATATAAGAAATTTGAATATGAAGAGTGAGTATTATTATAAAATTATCACTTCGTATCGAATTCAAAAACATAGAGTTCAAAATGAATAATAACTTGTCGATTCTTGATTCACGGCTTCGTCAAAAAGAGGTAGCAGTATTCCACGGTTATTTTGAACGCCTAAGAAAGAAAACTAGATGTCAATGAGCATCTACTTTATGTCAATTGCAAAGTTTCTAAAATAATAATAATAAACGTATGGTTTTTACCATTGACGTCTTCATGTCTCAACACCGAACATGTCTCGCTTGTTCCTTCACTACTCATAACGCTTGTTCCTTGTCTACTAACAATATTTTTCTTTTTTCATTGATAATAGTTTCGATTAATAACTTTTCTTCTTTGAGCAAAAGTTAACGCACTGACAGGAGTTGTTTCATTGATATTCGCTTGCGTTGTCTCCATTAGGGCGATATTTGTCATGTGTGTCATAGATTGACCACTTCCTTCCCCAAGCGCTATGTAAGATATTTGGACACGACAAATAAGATTATTATTATAAAGAACTATGAAAGTCGAGTTCAAATAGATCGAGTTCGAAAAGAAATACTAACTTATCGATTCTTGACTAACAGCTTCGTCAAAAAGAGGTAGCAATATTCCACGCTTATTTATAATGCCTATAGAAAAACATGTCAATGAGTCTAAAGTTTATATGAACTCCAAAGTTTCTAAAGTGTGTATAACCGGATGGTATTTACCGTTGACATTTTCCTTACTTCGTTGATAATAGTTTCGATTAATCATTTTTCTCTTTTGTGCAAAAGTCAGTGTACTGGCAAGAGTTGTTTCATTGATATTCTCTTGTGTTGTCTCAATTAGAGAGATATCTATCATGTTTGATATTGATTGACTAATTCCTTCACCAAACGCAATTTTTCTTTTTTTTTCTTCATCTCTTTTTGTTCTGCATAATAAAGTTTATTTGTATTAAATTTTATTTTTAAATATATATTGAGCAAGTACATCAAGAATTAAAATGTATTCGTATTATATATTTCACATACCTTTTGCTATATCTAAATTAACTTGAGGAACATCAACATTTGCACTTCCTTCATCGACAATTCTCATTGTGCACCTTAACTACATAGAATAAATAAATATTGTTGCACATCACTTATTTACAAAACATTCAAAAAACATTCACCGAAACCAAATCAATGTTGAAAAATCGTTCAACCAATATAAAATAGCATAAAAGTTACACATGTTTTTATTTTCACAACAATCACAAAAAACACCCAAGCCCTAACCAACTTGGTGACTTATTTTTAACTCAGCATAAGTCTTATGTTATGGGCTTCCAGCATATCTAGATCAATCACAATTTTAGTTAAAGTCGTAGAACACAAAATATTCACTGAAAATGTTAGAAATCTATGTTCAAAATATTCAAAAAACATTCACTGAATAAAATCGATGTTCAAAATATCATTCAACCAATATAAAATAACATAAAAGTTACACATGTTTTTATCTCCAAAACAATCACAAAAAACACCCAACCCTAACCAACTTGATGACAAATTTTTAACTCAGCATAAGTTTTATGTTGTGGGCTTCTGACATATCTAGATCGATCACAATTTTGGTTAAAGCCGTAGAACTCAAAATATTCATTGGAAATATTAGAAAATATAAATTTAGTAGAATTAATATAATATTTAAAATAGAATGAAAACATAAATTATTAAATAATATATAACATACTTGAATTTAAATGAATAAGTTTAACCCGAGATGCATAAAATATAGAATTATTTTTTATGGCTCGAGCAATTTGCACAATACGTGTATGTTGAGCATCATACAACCTGAACTTTATCATGAGTCCTCTATTAAAAATAGAAAACTTAGTAAAACAATTTGAACAATTTGTTAATTTGGTAAATATTTAATTTTTATACAAAATGCAAACTTACGTTCCATCTTGTAAAAATAAATCACACGAACCCAATCGAAAGACACGATTGTCCCGCACATACTTAACTCGTCCTCCCATTATGATTTTCCCAACAACATCTAACAGAAGATATTTAAATCTAAATGTTAAATATTGATTTGATATGAGAAATATATATAAATTTAATAGAAAGTTTTAATCTACCGATCATCATCTTTCTTGTAGTCCTATCTTCAGCAAAAGTTTTTATCGAAGGCACCGATGTATATAACACAAGCACTCTTTCAATATCACCTATCAGTGGGATTAACTTGGTGTTTTTACTGATGATTATGATCCATTCACCACGAACAAAACTATATTTTTTATACCTTGTGTACTCATGACAAGTCTCTTCAATTTGAAAATGTTGTTCAGAACAACCCACATCAAGCACTTTGTTAGAACCAAATTAGCCCTAAGTTTTAGAAAATTTTATAAAGTCAATTTCCCTTGTATTGTACTGTTTTATCTTGTAATTGGGGTTAATAATGGGCTTCACTTGTAAATGTCACCTATAAATAGGTGACATAAGACTTAGATTAATTGTTAATCATTCCTGTAATTTCAATGAGAGTTGATTAAAGAGATAGAGATATTGTAGTTTACTGCTTTCTAATAATAGAAATCTGGCAGGTTTCTCCATGTTCTTCATCTCTCACTCTATTTTCATGAATTGATCTTGATTTGCTAGTTGAAATGGGACTCACACACTTGCATATCAGGACCCACAGAATCTGTTGTGTCTTCCTCAAATGAGCCAAATTCTCCTATCTCTGAAACCCCCATGCCTAACTCTGAACTAGCATGTTTAGAGTTACAATCTTCAGAGATATCTAGTGTTGATGGGGAGCAACAAAGTGGAGAAAGTCCTGCAATAGCTAATAAGTAACTGCTAGAACAACCAAAATACAACTCATCCTTTTCCTAATTCACACAAGTGATTAGAGAAGTGTCTGATGGAGTGCAAACAAGATCAGCCAMAACTAATGAATGTTTGTTTGTTAGTTCTTGCTATGCAAGATGAGCTTAACCAGTTTTAAAGAAACCAAGTTTGGAGACTCATCCCAAGGCCAAAGGATAAATCTATAATTGGGACCAAATGGGTTTTTAGAAATAAAAAGGATGAAAATGAGTTGTAATTAAGAACAAGGCTAGGCTAGTAGCTAAAAGATATTTCCAACAATAAGGCATAGACTTTGATGAAACCTTTGCCCCTGTGGCAAGGATAGAGGCTCTTAGAATATTCTTAGCCTATGTTGCACATAAAAACTTCAAAGTTTACCAAATGGATGTTAAAGTGCATTCTTAAATGGAGTTTTAAATGAAGAAGTATATGTACAGCACCCAGAGGGCTTTAAAGATC